ATGGTGATTAGGGAGTTCCTCCTGGGCAAATGGCTAGGATACTTCAGGGGAAACAAAGAATTCCAACCGAGAAAGAAGATATTCCAGAAAGAGAGACTCTGTGAGGGGCAAGGATGGGCCCCGGGGAAGAAGGAGCCCCAGTGAAATCTCGGATCTCTGGGACATCTCTGGCTGCAGTAATAAAATGGAAGGGGTTTGTTTCTGTGTTGTGTTATTTGCAACTCTTATACACAGAGAACAAATCAATGGTTGCCAGAGGGGTGGGGGAGGTGGGTGCAAAAGGTGAAGAGGAGTAAAAAGTCCAAAGTTCCAGATATAAAATAAATAAGCCACAAGGATGTAATTTACAGCACAGGAAATAGAATCACTAATATCATAACTTCATATGGGACAGATGGTTGCCAGACCTACTGAGACATTCTCATTATAAGATATATAAATGTCAAATCACTACGGTATACACCTGAAATGGTATAATATTGTACAACAACTATACTTTAATAATTCTTTAAATGAAGGAATGATTTGCTAAGATGTCAAAAAATGCCTATCTTTGGAGACTCTTCAAAGAACTTGATTCACGTGAGGGGGAGTGGGCGACTTGACCTATTGTGTCTGTCCCTAATGAAATAGTTCATGGGACCCTAAGGGGCAGACCTTGACAATACAGTGTGGCAAACACGCAGTCTACTTACTGACCATTTCCTTCCATCTGCTGTTAGTAAAATGCCTCATAAAAATTGTAAGCTATTGTTAGTATTTGTCACAGAAAAAGAACTAGTAATGAAACGGTCCTGGCAAGAGGCAAAGACAAGTCTCCTGATGTGGTTGGGAGACCTGTGGGAAATGACTGTTATGGGTGAACCCTCTTGGGACAACTGAACACCACAGAGGGCCACTTCCCTCCTACTGCTCCCCCCTGCCCCCCCAGATGGCTTCCCTGGAATTTAAACTGCCCAAGTGACCACACACTGATTACCACTCACTTAAGCCTCAGACAATAAAATTAATGTACTGGGTGGAGAGGGAGGTCATGACAGCTTCATAGTTGGGGTTCTCCCCCCAACCTTCCCCAATTCCTTTTCACCTTTTCTGCAATATAAAGAGATGCCAATGCACATGGGAAATGGAATTAAATGATTTAGGAGATGGGTTCACACACGCTGCTTCAAACTAACATGAATTCTGATAAAGAAATGGCTTCACAGTTCAGCTTCTCTCTCCAAAGATTTAACACCACCTGCCCCCCAAAAGTTGACACTTTTTGAATCAGTCTATCTCAGTGTAGATAAATAACACACATTATAAGAATGGGATTTGGAGCCAGGTTGATGGAGTCTCAGATAGGGCACCAGCTTAGCAGCTCTGGGGGGGGGGGGGCAGGGTTTAGCAAAGGCACAATGGCCTCTGCTCGCCCTGATGCCAGACACTTCCTCTCTCCCTGTCGCTGGTGCCTTTCAAGCTGCTACCCTGCTGTGGAGCCCAGAGGGAGTGAGTCTGAGCAGCTGTTTATCAATCATCATAGAACTGCAGTAGAGAATTCTGCCAGACATTGTGAAGCCCAGGATTACTTTAGAATGACTCGGGGAACTTTTAAAAACTCCAGAAGCCTGGTGGTACTCCCAGAAATGTGATGAACTGCTTGGTATGGACTTGGACATCAATCATTTTTAAAGATCCCAAGTGATTTTATGTTTAGATATACTGAACTAGATCATTTCCAGAGCCAACAAGAAATGTTAACTCTTCTCCCATTCTTTAGCTGTTGTGAACACTAACCTCGCAGCATGTTGAATAACTAAAATTTACAAACTGAAGCCACAGAGCCGTGACTTGTATTTATTTAAGAATTTATCAGTAAAAGCAATAAAATATTTTTAAAAAGAATTGGATCTGCAACACAAGAAGGTGATTAATCACATTTCAAAAGCAGTTTTTAAGTGTTTTAGAAGTCGCCCCAGCTTTTCAGGAGCATGTGGCCTGCATCAAGCGAAGTCCCCTGCATTTTTACTAACAGTGTCGCTGAAGCCTTTTAAACGTCACTCTATAAATTCTCACTGCTATCTTCTTGCAGGGAAATAGAAAATAAAGAAACATTTAAAAAAACCTCTCCCATCGCCATTTCAACCATTCAATAGCAAATTCTTCCCAGCAAGATGTTTAAGTGCACCCGGCTCAGAGCCCCGGAAACACGATAACGCCAGCATTGTTTTCCAAGGCAGAGATTTCTAAAACAAAGGCAGGCCAGAGCTGATTCACACAGTGTGATCCAAACACAAACACAGCTCCAAGATGCTGAAGTGTGAAGTCCCTGTGCTAGAAAACTGGATCCCTGGCACAGTGGAGTCCGGAGCCCTTTTCTGGGTGCACGTGCTGGGTGCGATGCTGTGAGCACCTTCCAGTTTTTTAGAGGAAGAGTTGGCAAGAGTCAGGAACCAGGAACAGAGCAGGACAAAGACGGGAGTTACAAGAGGCACTCCCCCAAAAACCTAGCCCAGCAGGGCAAGGAGGAGGGCCACTTAGTCTTCCCTACCAGGCGACAGTAAAGACAGATGAGACACCCCAGTCACTGAGCACTTACTGTAGGTAAAGCGGCTCCATACACTTTCATCTGCACTAACTCACAGACCCTGTCTCTGATTCCTTTAAAAAAATTGACATTCCCCCCAATTTTTGTTTATGTAGGTTGTAGCCACATATTATGCATTCAAATAGAGAAAAAAATAATTTACCAGTTTAATTTAAAAAAAAATATGCCCTGGCTGGTGTGGCTCAGTGGATTGAGTGCGGGCCTGCAAATCAAAGGATCGCGGTTTGATTCCCAGTCAGGGCACATGCCTGGGTTGCACTGCAGGCCAGTTCCCAGCGGGGAACACAGAAGAGGCAACCACACATTGGTATTTCTCTCCCTCTCTCCTTCCCTTCCCCTCTAAAGATAAATAAGTTAAATCTTAAAAAAAAATAAAGCTATTACACATTGACAGAAATAACTTTTTACGAAGAATAATGATATTTTCCAAAGCAAAATAAAAAAAATTCTGAGAAGAGTAGCACTGTTGTCATTGGGCAGGTGCCCGCAGTGTCTGGCTCAGCAGACGGCAGCGCGACTCTCCCAGATGCTTCTGCATTAAACCAACACCCGGGTCATACGCGCCTCAAGAAAGCTCCATGGACAGTCACGTGGGAATGAACATGAAAAGGGGCAGGTAATATCATGTGTTGTCACGAAAGCAGTTTGGCCTTTGGCCCTCTGAAAAGTCTTAGGGACTCCTCAGGGTACCCCGCCTGCCCTTTGAGAACCCCAGCCATGTGAGTTTGGGACAAGTACCATGTCCATAAGCAAACTGGCATAGGGAGGTCACGAGATTGTCCAAGGACACGCTGCTAGAACAGGTCAGAGCAGGTAAAGGGCAAAGAGCACCTGTTGTCCTCATCCACAAGGATTGAGATCATGGACACAAAGGCTTGTGCATCCCGCTTGGCCTATCCCAAGCGCTCAAGACTGTTAATGTTCCCTGTTGGGCAACACCTGGTGGGAAGCTAGGGAAGCTTCACGCATTTCTGATCAGCTGATTGTATGTATGACTCCAGCAAGAAAAAATGAACCCTTTCCAGCATGTGCTCTTGTGAGCGTGGACCCTGGCCCAGCCTGGGGAATGGAAGCAGCCTGTCCTGCTCCGAAACTTCCAGGTCCTCATTCCACCCTCCATTAGGCAGATGTTGTCGGCGGGCCGCGCTGCTTGCCACCACCTTGTTCCTTGGGAAACCTGAGCAAGCCAAGAAAGCTGCTCCATTATTTACAGCCTCCTTTTTGCATCACGATGCACTTACAAGGAACCTTCAACAGACAACAACAGTGCCTCTAGTCCTAGCGGCAAACCTCTTCTAGAAACCGACACCTGTGGTCTTCCCGTCCAGGGGCTCAACACACCACGGCCCTCCTTGTCCATCAACTTTCCGAACCCGCAGGGTCCTGCCTGGGGTCCTGTCCTGCCTGCCTCTCCTGGCCCACTTGGGCCCAGAGACCTGCAGGTCACTTCTGTTCCTCCTCGCATGTGATGAGTGCGCTCAGCTGGGGAAGTGGGTCTGGCGCAGCTCAGGCCACGGCACTCGCAAAACGCCATCTGGGCAGGACGCAAGAGCAAGAGACGCCTGACGCTGTTGCTCCCACCCAAGTATGGGCCACCAGGATTTGTCACCTGGAGCATCGCCACTGGTCTCCTTGTTTTCATACTGACAACCCTCTTCACACACACACACACACACACACATCATTGTACTCTCCACCCATCCCCAAAAAGATCTTTTAAAAGTATAGAAAGGATAAGGTTAGTTTTCCTGCAAAAATGCTCCTAAGTATCCCCCCCCGCAGTCAATTGGAATAAAAACTAAACTCCTGAACTTGGCTTATAAAGACCTGCCTCATCAGGCCCTGCTACCTTTCTCTGTCTGGCCTTTGCTCTCTCTGCTGCCACCACTCACAGGGCTCCTCCAGGACCGCCAACAGCTCGGAGCTCACGGCCTCTTCAAGGGGGCCTTTCCTGCTCGCCCACTCTGCAGACCTTCCTCTCCACCCCTGCATCCTCTCCATCTGAGCTATCAGAGCACTTCCTCTCCGAGGTTATCTATATGTTACTGGTGTATCAAACGTCTCCCTCCTAGAATGTGAGCCCCAGATAGCAGTCTCCACCTGGTCCCCCGCTGGTCCCCCGCGCCTGGCACCGTGCCTGACACAGACTAAGCACTCAGCGAACCTTGATCGAATGAATGAAGCAGCGGTGCCCGGTGGCCGCGAGAGTCCCAGACTGATGTTCCTAGTGTCCCGGCAGGTCCCCACTGTCTCGGCTGCGGGGCCACATGCGCCGATTGGCCCGGGAACCCAGCTGACCGGGCAGGGTGTCCCCAAAGAGCGACGGCGCGCCCTCCGGGCGCCGGGCGCCGCAGGTGCCTCCCAGGAGCACGCACTCTCGAGTCAGAGCGGCTCGATCGCCTGCACTCACCATGGTGGCTGGGCCGCCGCCTCCGCCGCCCCAGCCTGGCTGGTGCCGAGTGGCGAGAGCAGTCAGTACACGGGAGAATGAGAGCGGAGCGCAGGGGCCGGCGCAGCTGACAGGTGAGGTGCGCGCCTCAGACCATGGCTGCTTCCCACAATGCCCTCGAACTGAAAGTTTGCAGGCTCCTCCCAGCCGATTCCCCTCCCGCCCTTCCTCCGCCCTCCCGGCACCCGCACCCCCGGCAGCGGCCCCGCCCAGCGCCGTGCAGGAGGCCTCAGGTGCCAATCCACCTGCGCGCTCCTCTGCGCGTGGGCCTCGGCTGCCCCGCGCTGCGACTGAAGCCTGCGGGGCCCTCCCTCAAAACCCCTGCGCTGGGCGTCCCAAGATGGGGGTGCTGCTTTCCCGATCCTGCGGTGCGAAAGTTGGCCAAACGTTTTTCGGGCCTGGAGAAGATACTTCCCTATCCCCTCGCGGAAAGTACCAGGGGCTGTCTGTTCCTAAAACGGGCATGGAGGGAGCGTTTGCCCGCGCTCAAATCCTTCCTGCGTATATATTACATTATATCTATTATATGTTGCATGTAACCGCAATCAGAAGCCATAGGCCATTTTAAACATCCCGGTTTTAAGAGGTCTCTCCTAAGACTGGCGTTGAGTCTCCAATCTCCTTCTCCCCTTGACTTTTCTTAATCTACCTGGGACGTGAGGAGTCTCCCAACCCCCACACTCTAAGAGTTTTGAGCACGTATTTATGTGCCTTTGGGAGGGTTGGTTGGTTTTATTAAATGCCTAAACAGATCCACACCCTCGAAAGGTTAAGAACCTTTGCTTGGGCTGTCTCTGGAAGCCAAAACTAGCGAGAGTCCTCCCCAGGGTCTGCTGCGTGCCTTCAGTGAGCTGCTGCCAGCTCAGGCGACCTGGAAGTAAGGGACGCCCCACCCACCCGTGCACTGAAGCCACATTTATCAGCGCTTACCCCGTGCCAGGCCCTGCAGCAGAGTCGGGCTTCCTGCTGGGAACCAATAAGAAAGTAAATAAATAACTACAAAGTGAGGGCAGTGCTGAGCAGGTGAGATTACGGGGAAGGAGGTGCGTGCTAGTGTCTGGGATAGGCGCAGGGGAAGCAACATTTGGGTGGGTGGGGCAGGGGGTGGCAGGTCAGGGAAGGCCAACAGCTGAGGAGGTGACATGAGACCTATAGATGAGAAGCCAGTGTCCTGGGAGGAAAAATTAGCTTTCCTTTTTAAAAGACCCCAGACAAGGCCTCTGTGGCTGGGATTAAGTGAGGGGAGGTTCAAGAGGTGAGCAAGAGGCAGACGCAATGGATCCTGCATTACAGGCATCATGCACACTAAAAGCCCCAAGACAGAACAGCTTCCAGCCTCCAAGTTCTCAAAAGGCTCAATGTTCTGTTACTACATCCCTGATGGCTTCTGCCCCCGGGGTCTGGCATCTGCCAGAGGGCTCTGGAGGGGGATTTAACCGCGAATCCCCAGGCGATGGGGTGAGTTGGCCTCCTGACAGATGGCCCACTACTTACTGTGAATTGAGAGCTGCTTTCTAAACTCCTAACTCTCCCCCCACGGCCCATTTCCTCCCCATCTTGGACTTTTGGTCTCAGTATGTAGGATCTCCTCTTTCTACCTAAATCCAAGGCAGGGCTCAGCCTTGTCTCACGCACTTTGCTCATCTATGAAAAGCACCTACAGCCTCCTGCTCTAAGGGTTTTGTTGCTTGTGGAAAGAGATCGGAAGACTAAAGGTGCGTTTTAAAGCAAAAGAAATCTCAATGCTCTTGCCACGCATGAAGTAAACGATGAAAGCAGGAGAAGGTCCCCTGACTGTGTGGTCCACGTCAGGGAAAGTTTGATTGTAGAATGAGGGAGTTGAACTTGAAAACTGTTACCGGCCCTTGCCCTCCCTCACGACGTTGCTGAGATGGGCTGTGGATGTTCTCCTAGGCTTCTCCCCCTAATGTCCTTCCCTCCAGATTCTCAAACCACACCCCAAACCAGTCTCAGGCCTGCACACTTCACATAGGTGACCGCATCTGGCCATCAAATGGCCTGTAATTCAGTACATGGTTTGCAATACATTCTCCCATTTTATAGTTGCCTTTGTATTTTGTTGATTGTTTCAAGGAGTACTATGCCCCTTATATAGATGAGAGGCTGAGACGCAGAGGGAGTGAGGCCAAAGCAGGAACAGACGGCTAACCAAAGGCAGAGCTAAGCCTGGAACCAAGGTACTGAGGCTCCCCCGGGGCTCACACTGATTCCCTCCAGAGCCACACACATGGCAGACCCAACTGAGGACTCTGCAGTGGTGTTAGACGATCTTGACTGAGAGCACTCACATGTCTCAGTGGAATAGCTTGCATTTTTTTGAGTCTTGTCTTTCTTATCCTATCTTCACTTCCTTTTTAAACCCTAAGCTCTAGGTGAGGTCAATAAGGAGGCCAACCCTGCTGAGGACCTGGAGGCCCTAAAGGGGACTCAAGACTTGGAAAATTTTAGCTTAAGGTAAAAGGTTGTAGTCTAGCAAGTAATGTGTATGTTAAGGCTTTTGTTTCAGAAACTGCAGATAAGGCCCGTCCTGGCTCCTGGGAAAACAGCTCATCTCCTGGGGCACTGATAAAGATCACCACCTGGGGACAACTGGAGGCATCTGGACCTTTGTGTTCCAGGGAGAGCAGATGACCACCCACCCCTGGGAACAGCTAACTACCCAGGACAGGAATGTTGCAGCTTCTGTCACCTAATCCTCCCTGAATCTCAAAGCCCTCACTGCACCTTGTTTCTTCCCTGGTATAAAAACCTTGGCCTGGAAAGAGAAGGCAAGATGGTCTGTTAGGGTATGAACCCTCCATCTTCTCAGATTGCCAGCCACCTGAATAAAGCGCTCCTAAAGATTCAATCGCTGTCATTGCTTATTGGGTTTGGTAGTGACAGACAGCCCGAATGCCAGTCTCTCTTCTGGTTTCAAAGGGACTCAGGATGTTCCACTGTGAAGAGGGGTTTCCTGGCCCCATTCTGATGGGGCCTTTAGATTCAAAATCTGCTGTCGTGATGTTAACCTAAGGACAAAAGGCCGAAGTGACAGGCAACAAGCATTTACTTGAGATCCCAAAGAATAGGTTTTCAGGAAACACTGAATCAGGTGGGAACCCAAATAGAGTTCTCATTAGGAAATGAATGCAAGGGGTATTCACGAGGAAGGGAAGGGGAACAATTACTGACAGAGAAGGAAGAAATAGAAGGTACAGGGAAGCTACATAGTGATAAGGCAGGAGATAGTCAGGAAGGAGGAAACTCTGGAGGTGCCCCAGAGCTAAGATAGAGGACATCCTGTCCTAAGACCAGTTGTTCCTGATTTCTGGAAAAGCACTGAATCATGGTGACTCATGAATCCACCTGAGTGACTCATTGTGCAACCCCCTTCTCTGGTGACCAATCAAGGAAAATCATGGGAGACCATATGCACAGCAGCTTTAAAGTAACACAACTACTTGTACATGCACAGTAAAAGCCTGCCAAAACTAGCCAGGAAAGATCTGTCCTATGAGAATAGAATCCGTCCAGCCCATGAGGTCAATCTCTGCTTGGAGGTGGCTTGCTCCCAAGTTCTTTGCTATAAACTGTGAGTGTTTGGTTCAATTCTTTGTCCCAATCACCAAGAAACTGGTTACCTGTGCCCACCTGTGACACTGATGCTCGTTCTAAAGAGTATCTTTGATTTTCAGTTCTAGTCATCACAAACAGTTGTTTGGGATACAGTGCTGCTTCAGTCCAGTCCAGAGGCGAGTTCGCCCAGTTTCAACAGTCCAAAAGTTTGAGGAATGAGACATGCAAGGCAGTTCCTCTGGGATGGCAGCTCCCAGTCCATCTTAAAGTGGCTCCGAGTATGTCATCTTTCATAATCGGCAGAAGCCAGGAAGGGTGCACAGTGTGTTTCAGATCAGGTCGCGTCTGAGCCTGTGTGTGTGATTCTGTCTGTATGTGCCATGACTCACACCAGTGCCCTGGTATTGGGTGGGCTTGATTTATGAGCTTCACTTCTCAGATCACTCCATAGCTGCATGGTCATGGGAAATAGAGAGAATGCAGGGAAAGTGAAAGCCACCATGGAGTTCGTGTTGGGAGGGAGGAGAAGAGCAATTTGGGACATGACTGCACATGTAAGTGATGCCAGTCCATAAATCAAAATATTAATTTTCTAGAAATGGAGAGACATAAAGCTATGAGTTTTAAAAAGTAAAAGAAGCAAAGGAGAGGCCATCAAACAGGGATTGTGAGAAAGTGAACCACATCTCTCTTTCCGATCATAATGGTGATCTAGTTAAACGTTAACTGAACTACAGAATAATGGAATGGAGGATTCCCGTGCTTCTTATTTTGTTTGTCTTGTTCAGTACAAGATACTTCCACAAAGCAGGCCGATGGTTATCCCAGCTATACCAACACACGAAAAACGGGCAATGAAATGCAGATACACCTTTATTGTCAGGCAGTTACAATCATCACAGAAAATACAGATGTCAGCACAGTGGATGCCAGGTGGATCTGAGAGTCTTTGGTTTTTGGATTCCACATGTCAGTGAAACCATACATTATTTGTCTTTCTCTGTATGACTTATGTCGCTTACCATAATACTCTGTGGGTCCATCCATACTGTTGCAAATGGCAAGATTTCATTCCTTTTTTATTGTTGTATAATCAAACAGAACAAAATGAAGACATAAAAACAGAGACCAAAGGGATGGTTGCCATATCATGAGTTGACCCAGTGACAGATGAGTAGAGAATTGCAAGGTATAAGCGGAATCACTATATTGTACACCTGAGACTGCTATAACTAATATAATATTATATGTCAACTGTACTTAAGTTAAAAATAATAAAATTAGTTATTTCCATTTTTAAAAAAGATTGTGAGCCTTTGAAACAACCAAACCATTTTCACATGTGAAGACTTGCCATTGATTTGATTCTCCGGTCGGTGTTTGGAGACTTGCCTTCTTCACCCTACGTCTTGGTTTGAAAGGTTTGGCATCATTCCCTTTAAAAATGCATCTCACTGATATCACACTT